TCAACGAAACACTGCTAAAGGCTAAAAATTTCAGAATATACTCAACTTTAGCAGGGCTACAAACTGACGAAATCAGAATTAAATTTTAAAAAAATTGAGCACGCTAGGTCGCCGCTATCGTGCAATGACTCCTAAGGAGTAAATAATTTCACACTTTACTTTAAAACTGAAGTTTTACTCTAAACTGAAGTAAAACCAAACAGCTATTAATGACTTACATTTATATTTAAAATCTACAGTTTCCAGAGCTGGGCAAGTCAGAGGTTTTGCAAGTCACAAGTCAAGTCACTGAAAACGTTTTCAAGTCGAGGTGAGAAGATTTTTTTTTCCCAAGTCAGGTCTGGTTAAAAAATAGACCGAACATAAAATTTACTGACGCCTTTTGGATGAGAGACAGTTTTTATAGAAACTTTGTGTCATGGTAAAAAATGCCTAATTTAAATGAAAACGTCTTACTAAAAATGATTTGAGTTGAAAAAATTTTCAAGTCCAATCACGATCACGAAAAAAATTTCTCAAGTCAAGTCAAGTCAGACTTGACTTGGACCTGATGCATTTTAATTTTGACTTGTCCAGCTTTGCTAGTTTCTCTACTCGTAGTTTGAAGTAAACAGCTTTATCACATTCATTATTAATCATGTTGGGAAAAACGGTTGACGCAAAATAAATTTTAGTATATACATAGTTTTTAAAAAACAGAATGTATGCAGATTAGAAATCAAATGTACATACCAACAGATTGAGCATGATCCATTCTACTGCTATCCAAAACACAAATGTTTTGCTAATATTAATTCAAAGATACTTTCATTTGTTTTCTTGTTCGTATTGTGGTGAATTCATAATGATTAATCGGCAATTTTCAGCGTTATCGATTAGGGGATGGTAGGGGGTGAATTTTTTCCCCTCCTTTAGATAAGTTACTCAAACAGTTCTGACTTACTCAGAAATCTTTTAAGAAAATCAAGTTGAGAAACTGCCTTTTATGCACCTAAATAAGTGATTTTCTCTAGCTTCTGAGTAATTCATTTATTTGCTGAGAAACTGGCTCTTATGCACTTGAGTAAGTGATTTTTACGTACTTTTTTTTTAAAAAATCAAAAATTTTAGTCAAAAAATGCGTTACTCAAGAAAAAACTTTAGTTACTCAGCAGACTCTCCATCTTCATCAAAACTTCTATCGAAAACGTTGGGCAATTTCAGCATCCCGCCTACTCATTCTACATATAAACACACCACATCAAAGTGTTTGTGCATTTTTGTTAACACTGGGAAAGACATAAACGTAAATAAGAAAACAGACGTCAGGTATACTTAGGTCAAAATGGTTATGAGAAACAGTATTTTTGGGCATACTGATTTGGATACGATATGGATACAAAATGCTGTATCTGTGAATGTCTGTACTAGGAACTTAGTTTCGCTTACACCTAATGTTACAATCATTGCTTTGGAATGACTACGATTCGATCTTCCGTAGGCTGATGCCATTAAAAGCTGATTTTATTGTTTACAAAATTGGATGTTGATGACATTTCAGCCTAAAATGAAAGGAATGAAAGTCAGACTATTGAATGAAGACTATAGCAAGAAAGAATTCAAACAAAGAATTCAAATCTTAGAGAAGCGTAGAATTTTTTCCCAAAAATACAAGTATATACAAGAGATATTAAAAGATTTTCAGAGGTAAAGAGATAAAAAACAACAACTTTATTCACTTTTAATTTAAATACAATTTTTGAATAATAGCAGTAAGTTTACCTTTGTGGCACATTGAAAATCTAAGTTCAAATGCTCCTCTTTATTTGTACAAAACTGATTTTGTGTTTTTTACTTATTTTAGATTAAAACATTATAATGAAGTTGTTCTTATTCCGGAAGAATCAAGCTTATATCATATCGTATTACTATATTATGACGCAAATAGGCATGTGAAAATGAATTCTCCTGCACAGATAATAATGTTAGGCTTATGATTTATGTAGAAAGTTATTTCAATGAATTTTTTTCTTCTATAGGGAAAATTAAATAGGTATTTACCATTAGATTCATGCATTCATTCATCTTGTTGCTCTGACAATAAAATAAAAAATAATAATTTGTAAAACAAAAATATCGATATAGAGTAGAATGGAATGTCGGTAATATACGCCAAAATCATATTCTATAAATCATATAGTATTGAGTTTAAAACATTTTTGTTTGATCAATCATTGTTTTTCTCTACTATATTTCCCTATAAAGTTTAGATTTTTCTTATTATGTTATGTTATGTTTTTGTCTTTCTTCTTTTCCACTAGAGGTAGCTATACAAATGATTAAACATGAAATAAATTATAAAAACGAAAAAAAGAAGGACAAAATAATGCGTATCATCCTCTATAGGGAGCTATACTGAGAGGAAAAGTGTATTCATCAGCAGCATCAATCGATACGTCAAAAGATACGACAAAAGATTCTGTATCTTACTACTTGCTTCTATTTGATTCGAAAAAAAAAAAATGGAGAAAAGGAAGAAATAAAAGATCGTTGGAATTTTTTTTTAATGATGCTATTTATTAATCTCCTAAAGGGAAGAACAATGTAACGAGAAAAAACAACAGGCAGAGAAAAAGAGGATATTAAATGAGAAAACGGACATCTCATTGCACCAATTAATTTTCCCATATGATCAAAAGAATACTAGAGAAATAGTAATGTGCCACATCACAGTTTTTTTTTCAGCTTCAAGTTTGAATGTATTTTACAATAATAAATGAAAAAAAAATATATAGATCCTGTACCCAATCAACAAAAAGGTAGAGAGAATAATTGAAAATTCATTATAAAAGAAATGAGATATGTGTAGTTTTTATAAGTTCTTTAAGTGTCAGTTTTTTTAGTTAAATAATTGAGAATTTGAAAACAAGTGATTAGTGTTGAACTAATATATTATGTGATAGATACTAGAAGATATAAATAAATTAAGAAAAAAAAATGAATTTGTATGAACTTGTAGAGTTAATAATATTAATGTAATGATGTAATTTCTACCTGCTCACATTTTTCTCTCTACATTTTCTTTTCAAAAACTATATTATTTTTCTAATTCATTTACATAAAAAAGAAATAATATATATACAGAAGAAGCGTAATGATCAAATTAATTCCTATTTAATTAGACTATCCAGCATAGTATGACATATTTTTATTTTTGTCCTTTTTTTTCTTCGTCTCTCTAGTTTTCATTTTTTTAGTGTCATGCTTCTTTTTAAAAATAAAATATAAAAAAAATAACAAAATTAACAAATCAATATCTTTACTCGATTATACTCAATTTTTTTGACAAATAAAACTAAAAATGTTCATATAGTACCTCATAGATCATTAACGTTAGTATATAAAACTTTGTAGTTATCCTTGAGAAATGAAATAGAATATTTTAAGTTTTCGATTTTTAACGTTACCAAACGAAGATTTTCTATATTTACAGTGTTATTCACTCACCTAACAAAGATTATTAAATAGAAAATTAAACAATATTAAATCTATGTTCAGCATTCTAATTTGTTTTTTACACTACCTAGAATTAACAAAACAGAATATAGGATAAGAGAATTACTACTTTGTATAAATGCACAGAGAATAATTTGAATAATCAAAAAGGTTTTTAATTTGCCGCTGTAATTCATTGAACTATGAAAATTCACTTGTCTTCATTGGCTTTGTTGTCTACTTTATAAAATATGGTTAAATTGATAACTATTTCTAAAACAAAATTTTTTATGAATGTAATAATCATTGAGATTTTAGTCTAATTTGTTATACTCTTGATTTATTTTTGTTTTTGAAACTAGTAAAAACTATTCTCTCATTAATAGACATCCTATCTGTCTCTCTAATCTATTTTTAGTATTATCTGTATGTTTCAAAACTTTATCTGATTTATTTCTGTCTGTTATCCCTTGTGATTTGAGTAACGAAAATATTGGAAAGAAAAGTCATTGTTCACTAATAGTTGCTTATATTTTTAATAAATAGACCACTAATACAAAAAATGTGTCATTTTACATTTCGTGATTTGGTTATTAACAAATATAGTCTAAAAGTGGAAATTTATCATTTTTACTCTTATACAATTATTTATAAAACAAAATTTACTCACAAAAACCAATATATATCTGTCTTACAAATAGTTCAAAAATTCTTCTACAAATAAGAAACACTATCAGATTAATGTAAATAGAGGGCACTGTTAAACTCAAAAACTGTAAACTTTAATCGGCAGTGTTTCATATGTCGCAATAATAAAGTCTTTTATAATGATGGAAAACTAGTGTAAGAGAATGAACATTCTGAAAAACCTTGAAATTTTCATCAAATCGAATCAAATATTATATGACATTTACAAACTTGTTAAAAGAACAGTTTTTATCTTTAAACTTTCTTTTATCACTATACATGTTATGACTTGACTTTTCAAGTAAAAAAAAGAAGTTTTTATGTTTTTTTCTCGTTAACTGTTACCGTTGTCGATGTCGTCAAAACATACTGAATTACGATATGAATTTCCATTTTTATGTAAAAGCAACCGTGAATGGATATTTTTAGAAAATGTCGGTGGTAGTCAGGTACCTTAATGTGTTATTGATGCTATTCGAGACTATTATGAACATTATTATGTACAACTATCGGCTGACTATGAGTTTTCGAATAATGCCACAAAATTAGTGGATGATACACATCAATTTTGTAATTTATTAATAAACGGTCAAGAACTTGGCTATATTGTTTTAGGTTCAAATAGTTCTCAACTGTTTCAGACTCTAGCTACTGCATACAGAAAGATGATTACAAGTGAAGACGAAATTATCGTTACCAACATTGCAAATGAAGCCAACTATGGACCATGGGAACGTCTAGGAAAAGAAAGAGGTGCAACATTAATCGAATGAAAGATCGATCAACATACACACATGATGAATATAAACGAATTAAAACAATTATTATCCTCTAGAACACGTCTTGTTGCATTACCGCATGTGAGTAATTTATTAGGCGATATATTAGACGTTCAACAAATGGCTACGCTTGTTCACGAAAACAATCCTCAAACTCGTCTAATTATTGATGGTGTTGCTTATGCTCCTCATAGATTGATTGATGTTAAAGCATGGAATGTTGATTTTTATGGATTTAGTTTTTATAAAGTGTATGGTCCACATATTTCTGTTTTGTATGGAACAAAAGAGGCGTGGCTCGAACTGACTAAGGCTAAAGCCGGTTCAAATCATTTTTTTATTCCACAAGAGGACATAACTTATCAATACGAAGTCGGATGCATGAATCATGAAGCGTGCGCAGGGATATTAGCATTGAAAAAGTATTTCAATAAGGTTTTTGACCAAGAAAATACTAATGAAGAGATGACACGTGACAAGATTGAGAGAGTGTTTGATGTATTTAGTAAGTTAGAACAATCACTAACAGAGTGTTTAGTCAAGTATTTATTGACTAAACCAAGTGTTACATTACTTGGTTCAAAAAGTTATGATTCTTTGATACGTGTTCCAACCATTAGTTTTATCTCAACAAAAATGCTGTCAGCGGATATTGCTCGAGTCTTACATACGAATAAAATTGCCTGTCGAAACGGACACATGTATGCTTACCGTCTGGTTCAAGCACTCGGTTTAGATATGAATGATGGTGTTTTACGTTTATCTGGTTTACATTATAATACTCGAGAAGAAATTGACAAAGTGATTCAAATATTGGATAGTTTACTTTAAAAATAAATAACAAAACAAGTCATTATTATAAAAAATAACATTATTATTAACATTCATAAATATTAGTAGCAGTAGTAAGATATTTTTACAGTGGAAAACGGGTCAATATTTTTTGATTTAATACTTTTGAAGAAAAATTGGATCAATTGAAAGTTTTTTTGTCAAGTCCACTGCGGAAAAGTTGAGTCTGTAATATTAATATTGACGTCGAAATAAAAGACGAAGTTATTGCTCGATAAGAAATCGGTAAGATTGAAGAATTTATTTTTGATGAATCGTCTACCATTGTGAATTCAATGCGTTTCATTGAAAATTTTGCCATGATGTATCATCATTCTAATCAGATTCAAAGCCAAAGCTGATTCTAACGGAAAATATAGAACTGATGATGGAACAAGTTGATAAACGTATTACAAAAATAGATATAGATATAGTTAATTAGATGATGGTGCTAATAGTGCACTAGCGTTTATATATCCAGATTGAATACGCAGCCAAAAGTTAAAAGACCTTTAGATAAGTAGGGAACGGCTCGAGATCAAAATTTTGAACTGAACTGAACTTTTATTTTTGCCAGCCTGGTTGTTACAGAGGAAGACTAGCTGATGTTGAGATGGGTATAGCTGAATTATCCAACTTTCGATCGATATGGGCATGTCTGAGCTTTGGATAACCGAGATATATTCAACGCAAAAAAATGAAATGAAAAAGATTCGATAGATTCAAAGTGTTTGGATGATCCAAACAAATCCCAAAATTGGGTATATCGGGACTAGTCCAGTTTAAAATTATTTTAATGGATAACTTGGAATGAACCCAAACCTTAGATAAGTCGAGTTATTTACATAAAAATGTCTGTTTTTATCGCTGGGCATCTCTTGAAGATTTTTGCATGGTGGCTCTTGTTCCTAAGTGGTCGAAATGAGAGACCTTAGTCAACAAGAAATAATTTAAAACAACTTGAATACAAAGAAAATATTTTATTTCCTCTTTCAAGAAAAGAAATAAATACCAGCCAAAACTGGATGGCCCACTCGATCAATAGGTAATCCGATCAATTGTATGTATCCCGACCTATTCAAATCCATAGGTGTGTTGAATGAATGAGAAAATTATCTCCAGGTGCTGAATAAAAATTGATAAAAGAATTTGAAGGTTTGAAATGCTAATTCTATGGCTAACTCAAGAAAACTTTAAAACTTATTACGCAGTTTTTCTATAAAACCGTAATTTTTAATCATATTTAGAAGGAAAATTACCAAATTACAACTTTACCTTTGAAATATCGTCACTTATTCTCCAGACCATCCTCTGCTCTAAAAAATATTGTTACAGACCACGAGAAAGAGCATATTCAAAAGTACAAAAAGAACTGAGTTCTTACTTCCGCTGCACTTTTTTACGGAAATAATCGCTAATACCAAATGAAATAAAATACCAAGTTTACAAAGTTTTCAATCTTTTCGCTTTTGTGTAGTTTGCGTAGTTTTCTTGATTGAAGTTGTAAAATTAAAGTTTAGGTATGGTTTTGTAGAGTATTACGAGGAGCATCTTTTGAAAAAAATACTAACCGTGAAGATAAACATTTTCCCCAACCCTGTAGTGCTGTGGCGACCAAACGTGGGCAAGGTGTTTGAAATAAAACGTGTTTTCGTGAAATATTAGAGAAAAGCTTTTTCAGAAGCAGACGGAGTACACCCTACCACAAACCACGCAGTCTACACAGCACTGGACGTTTCTCGACTAGACATGTTACCCGACGGATGCAATGATATAGTATAATGTTGATATTTTCCGTTCCGCTGAACGACGACCGGCAGTGCGTATAAATACTAGAGACTAGGTGACACTAACATCTCTGCTCTTTACTATGTATATGTCTATGTTCCGCTGAACTTCAAAAAGCAACTGAATATAAACACTTTTCTATAAAAGAAAGTGTATAAGTCGCCTATAAAGTAGTTTGATGTTTTAGCGTGTTCAGTAGAAAAACTTTTCTCTTGTTTTCCGGCAATTAAAGATGTCGCTTTGTTATGTGACAATATGAGACTTAAATGAATTGCTCTTTAATCGTTGATCGTCGTCTAGAAACAGTAGTTATCTTATTAAGGTGGAGAAATCCTGCTATTTACTAGAAAGGCAAAAACTTGTAAATTTACAGGTTCATTTCTACACCATTTGCCGTGTATCGTTCTTCTTATGCTAGTATAATCGTTAAGCTCCAAATGGCTTCAAGGAGCCAGGATCAATAAGAATTGATGTAGATATACTCTCTTTTGAGCTGGAAGGAAACAACCTAGGATAATATAGAAAAAAAATGAAGAAACAGTTTTAAAAATTGCTAGCAGGGCCTGATCAACTCCGATTTCTTATTTGTTTATTTTCGTTTTGAAACAAGTTTTTCTATCATTTTTTTACGGTGTCCCAATAACGTATTATTTCATAGAACAAAAAGGTTCACAATAACAAATCAAAGTTACCTTTGAGCAGAGTTTACATTGATAATATATTTTTTACTACGCTTATTCTTTGTGAACCCATTCTGTGAGAATACGCGTTCGACAGAGTGCTCGTTGCTTCACACTTTCTATTCATATGTGGCGAATGTGCAACAAGTACGTCGAGACGCAGAGCTCTATTGGCAGTGCATCTGTCTATTCCTTTTTTCCAAACATCCGCACATATTTTCTCTTCTCGTCTCAACAAATTTTTTCCCACTATCATACATGTTCAAGACATCCGCGATATATATTACATACTCACACACACTGCTGATGGTAGGAATTCGAAAAAAATATAAATGTTTTTGATCTCAAATAGAAAGGATTATGAAGCGGTTTGAAAAAGCCTAAAAGTCGGATTCAAAATCGATCATTTTCTTTTCGATTTTGATGGCATGGATAGATACTGCTCTATTCCTATAGCATTCCCTTTTACCTCTTTGACTGATATTCAAAACAACAGGCCTAATAGCTTTTTACTAATATGAGTTAATATGCTGCTAAGAAGTACTCCATTATATTCTTATATTCTGTATAGTTGCAGAATTTTCGATCGACATGACGTCGGTCCTATTTCGTTGTGTCGCTCGACGATGTTTTTCTGTTTATCGTACCGATACTTCCAAACCAACTACACCACCCAAACCAAAACTAAATAAAGAAACACAAATAACAGCATTTAAAGAGGATATTGACCAAAAACATGTTGTTGTACCGAGTAACAGAGATTTATATTCACCCGACACATCAACACACACTGGACAAGTAAGTTTATAGATAGATAGACGAGTCGAAGAAGAAGCCGTGTTCGTAGAAATGTTTGTGGAGAAAAACTGATAGAATAAAGATTTACTACATTTTCGATGCTGTTAGCATGTTGTTGTTGTTGTTGTTTTTTAGGTTTATGATAGTGATGATTATCGTAATGCACGATTTCTTAATAAAGGAAAACTTGTAAGTAAATATCAGAGACGTTCATAGTGAGAAAGAGAAGAACTGTCAAAACACTAACATTAATTTACATTAAAATTGTTTTTTTTTTGCAGATAAATCCTCGATTTGCTATTGATTTGATTGCAGACGATCCTGTTGTTGTTTGCGAAGCAAGAGGAGTGTGGTCTGACTCTGGTGGACCATTAGGTAAGCAATAAAGCCTGTGATTTATCCACCAACATGGCTCACACTTATTAGGTACTTTTAGGGCATCCAAAAGTCTATATTAATCTGGTAAGCATCGTATGTGGTAAAATATCAGCAGTGAAGATCCCACTTACATCGTAACACTCACGCGATTTGTTTTTTTCTTATTTTTAAGGATAAACCCACTGTGCATAGTTGTGGCTATAGCGGTCGCAAATTTATCCAAGCAAAATATTATGATGAGAGTAAACATGGCCCGAGTATAACCTATAATGAATATGTTCAACAAGTTCGAAATGAAGCAGATTTTTATAACGATGCCGCATTAAATCAAGATTATCACTAAAACTTGAAATATTCGTAGATCTATCTATTTTTTTCCTTCAAATTTTCCACGTGTCTATTTATATAAAAAACCCAACACCCTTTTTTTAGCTCAGTTGAATAAACATATACTTTTTTGTTGTGGTTCTGTCATTATCTTCTCGTTTATATGGGCTTTTTTAGCCGTCCAACATATGACCATTTTTACACGCTTTATGCTACCGTTTAGACTTTTAAGAATACTTTTTCCTGCCTTCAATTTTTGTTGTATTTTTAGATTATTATTAGTACATAGATAAAAAGTAGTTTTAACATGGTTTGTATTCTTTTTTTTTCTTTACTGTTGCTTTTTTTCATAGTTTTTTTTTACTAGGATTTGATCGGTCTTGGTACACGTGTTGATATTGAATTTTTTCTTGATCCACATTGTCAGCGCAAACAACTTGAAGTGAAAACTGATGATGGAAAAAGACAAATGCAATATGTTTACTATGATGGAGAAGATGTTATGGGAACGGTAAAATTGTTTTCTCTTTTGCTGTCCGTGAATTTAATGTGATCTGTTAACAGGTTTTATTGAAATTAAAAAAAAGTGGCAAAGTTGAACATCAAGGAATACGTTTAGAATTTATCGGACAGATTGGTAAGTATAGTGTATTATATTGATACAGATTGAACAAGATCACCATTTGTATGTAGAAATGCTGAATGATCGTAGTACAATACATGAATTTATTAATTTATCAAAATTATTAGCATTTCCTGGCGAATTAACCGAGAGTACATCAATAGGTAGAGAAAATTAACACACTATTTATAGTAAATAACAATATATTCTTTCTTTTCATCTAGATTTTCATTTTCCTAATGTAGAAAAACCATACGAATCATATATTGGAATCAATGTTAAATTAAGGTATGAGTAGTCCAATTTTTTCAGAAGTAAACTATCAAAATACACATGTTAAAAGTTGATGTACGAAGGAACATCACCAAGTATCACTCAAATTTTGACGAAACATATCGCTAGTAGATGAGTAGATGGTGCTGTTCACAAAGATAATGGTGGGAGCTGAGTAGAACAGTGTTATTATTTATACAACATGATTCAGTTTCCATTAAAAATACTTCCTTCTATCTATCATAACCTTAAGGGTACCTTCCCCCCCCCTCTTTTTTGACCCTCTTAGAAACCGGAGAAGCCGATGTTTGATCAGGGTGAAATTTATACCATAGGTAGAACATTGAAAAAGAAACTCGAAGTATTTTTGCCCAGAATTTTCTGACATGTTCTTATACGGGTTTTGGGGAAAACTCTAGTTTTCATCCAGTTTGGGGGTGTTGGTGGATGATGGCGTAGTTTACAAAAGTGTTTTTTGTTTCCAAAAAAGAAGTTAAAATACTTAGCGTCTTTCGATTTTTCAGCATTGTACTTCAAAAAGTTAGTTAAAACTCAAAAGGCTTCTTTCATTTAGAACACTAGTACGGATTGTTATTTCTTAGATGGATGATATAGCATTATATAATAACAGTAATAATATACTACTAAATATAAAGGTAGTAATACTATTACTAAACTAGTACAAATATACTCAATTATATTTACAGTGATTTTGTTACAAGTCTAGTATCACTTTTCTTTAGTGCGATGGAGTGTCAAATGAATGCTATATCGGAAAAACACACATGAACAGTAAACTAACTTTTGAAGAAAACGTGACCAAGAGTAGAAACAATGAATTGTAGTGACGATATTTCTCTACAAAATTGTATAGTTGTCGGCTTTTATTGACGTATTTACAAAAAAATATCATCAATTGAAAGTGGATCATTTTTCAACTGTATAAAAAATAATACTGTCCTAACTCAGTTTCAAACATTATATTCATGATCAGTGTCGTCTACTCATCTACTAGCGATATGTTTCGACAAAATTCGAGAGCAATACTTGGTGATGTTTTACACTGTGTCAGTACTGAATTAACATTTATTATTACTTTATATTTTTTAGATATTTTCTTCGTTTAACAATTATCAAACGTTTTACAAATACCGTTTCCGAACGTGATATTTGTGTTCATCAGCTATCCCAATTTCCCGAGATAAATAATAGTATTAAAATGGAAGTGGGCATCGAAGATTGTTTACATATTGAATTTGAATATAATAAATCAAAGTAGAATATTCACAACTTGTTTAATTCTTGTCTTTTTTTTACTCATACTCTATTTTAGATATCATTTAAAAGATGTTATTGTCGGTAAAATATATTTTTTATTAGTTCGTATTAAAATTAAACATATGGAAATTGCAATATTAAAAAAAGAAAGTACCGGTTCGGGACCAAATATTTATGCTGAAAATGAAACAATAGCAAAATATGAAATTATGGATGGGGCACCAGTAAGAGGTAACTACATGATAATTTTAAATTATCTTATATATATATTTATTTATCTCTTTTTCTTTTTGTTAAAAGGCGAAAGTATTCCAATTCGATTATTTCTTGGTGGTTATGATTTAACTCCAACAATGAAAGATGTTCAAAGAAAATTTTCTGTAAGATATTTTCTCAATCTAGTACTAGTGGATGAAGAAGAACGAAGATATTTTAAACAACAGGTATAAGAATGACAAGAATAATCATATATAGTAAGTAAAATAATCAATTTTTTATTACAGGAAATTGTTCTTTGGAGAAAACCAGACAAATCAAAGCCAAAAAATCCTGCTAAACAATATGCTCATTTTGAACCTGCTAGTCATACATCAGTAACCACTACATCTAGAATGGAAAATTCAATTACACAAGATCAAATTAGTAGCAGTGGCGGCGATGGAATTGAAAATGAAAACTCATCACCCGGAAATAATAGTGCAGCTGATTCACCAAGCGAATAATTATGTGTGTGTGTATATGTGTGTGTGTGTGTGTGTACGGCCTCGATTATCTAGTAAAAAAAAGACATTCTGTATTTTATATGTCGATGTATAGCTTTCTGTATTATGTGTAATTTCGTCTGATTATTATATTATTTTTTTGTTTTGTTGGTAGACTTTACTGAATTTTATTTTCTAATGCATTTATACGCTCCCATGGCCTTTATAAAAGAACTGTATCACACTTGCTCGTACATTAATTTGAACGAAAACAAATGACAAATTAAAGCTGGTTTGATTCTCTCAGGTTTAACTTAACAAATCATAAACTATTGACTAGTATGTTTTGTTGTCATGCATGTGCTGATATTATAGGTTATCTTCATACTTTACGATATTATACGTTATTTATAGACCGCTTTCATTTGTTTTTACCCGCTATGGTTCGTTTTGGCACTTCTTGATAGATATAAGAATCAAAAATCAATAAAGTAAAAGTAATCGGAGAAATGACAATAGAATTTATCAAAATACTTGTGCCGAGTATGCTCCTGGAATGTTTTTAATTTTTTTCATTATACTTTTGGTATATTATCTGGTTTTTTACATTAAAAGTCAACTCATGTCTTTCTTTTTCTCGAATGTATTTTTGTTTGGTATGCTTTATGTTTTTATTTCTTTTTGGTATTTTTAACCTTCGCATCAGTTTGTATAACGGATATTTTCGATTGATGGAAAAATATATAAGAAAATCATTTGATGATTTCATTTTGTTTTGGATGTGTATACATGACTATTTTTCAATTGTAATTCAGCATGTGATTGGAAAGGATTTAATATTGTCTCTCTTTGGGTTTTTTTTATATTTATTGATTTTTTTTGTCTGTGGTTTTTTCAAAATCTAAATTTTATTTCCTATTTATTTACATTGTAGAAAACAATTTTATCAAAATAAAAAACTTCCTTTCTACATTAAACTATTTGGTCATGAAGAACCTTGAGAATGCGAATTAAGAACATGCCTATTTCGTGTACAGAATTAAACACAAGCAGATATGTGAGCCTTGTGCGAAGTAGAAAATGATAAAAATAGTGATGTTTGGAGATAAACACATTTTGTTGTTGATTCTAGGACACCTATCAAGTAGGTATTACTTCATATAAGTCGAATGCACTTGAACATGGCAGTTGATTAAGTGATGGGCAACAGCTGATAGATTACTTATTAGCTGATTAGCTGATTACTTTTTAACGTCGATGGTAGATTAAAGTTCTGGAAAAGTTCGTCGCTTTGATTAATAAGGACTTGAAATTTCTTTGGCAAACACGTCGAAAAGCTTGGCCACTGTCATGTCTGAACATATTCTTCTTTTAAATTGACATCAGTACTATCCATTTCAAAATAGAATGGCCGGTCAGTGTTGACCTTATAGCTTCGGAACGGTGATAGATAGAGAGGTGCGGTTTTCACCATTCGAAAGAGAAATATGGGGCTACGATACCCATGAAACAATAAGTTTACTTTTGTCGGATCTTCAAGGTTTTTGAGAGGATCTTTGGAAA